GAGTTTTGAATGACGTCGATGTTCTGCGCAGTGTCTGCTAGTTATTTTAGCATATGGCAGTGGAAAAAGTGAATGAAGCCAGTCCGTGTTGGGCTTCCAAATTAAAATAAAATTGTCTGACAGAGCAGCAGCTCTCATTTACAGTTGTCTCGTTCGGCTTGGTATACTGTATTTCTCCTCTCAGTAGGGTTGTTTACAGCACACGCGATTTCCGGTTAGCTTCTTAGCTTAGCCTCCGTCACAGCGACAACACATACATGCTTCAGCAGAGGCCACGCCTCCTGCAAGAAATCGATTCTCTATGCATCAAGTCCAGACCCTATTATGAAGCAAAATGAAGGACAGGGTCTGGTTTTAACCAGGCTAGATCATTCAGAGATCCTCACTGAACTTCTGGAGTCAGCTTACTGCACTGAAAGTAAAGGGGCCGAATTATATTGCATGCCCCACTTTTCAGTTTTTTATTTGTTAAACAAGTTTAAAATATCAAATAAATTTAATTCCACTTCACGATTGTGTCCCACTTGTTGTTGAATCTTCACAAAAAAATTAAAATTTTATATCTTTATGTTTGAAGCCTGAAATGTGGCAATAGGTTGAAAAGTTCACGGGGAAACGAATACCTCTGCAAGGCACTGTACTTTCAAGTTTTCCAAATCAGATTATTGCAGCAAGTTTGTGAAGTTTTCTGCAGCAGAATGATAGTAATGGTTTTGGTGATGAGTCTGCCTGTATAACCTCAAAAAGCTTTTACCAAACATGTTAGTTAATATATTTTACCCTTTTTCAGCTGAATGTGATATTCTCTATGCAGTTGTTCTCCAAATACACCAGATAATTGAGGCAGACTACCATAAAAGTAGGAAGTAGTTTTGTATCTTCTGGAGATTATCAAAATTAAAGCACCAGTATATTACATCGTACTACACATCAAATGAAAACTAGGAACATTTATCTGACTTTAACAAATGTCTGGTGCCTTAACAGTTATACTAAATAAAGATAACCTCTAATCTGATGAATGAGACTTAAAAAATGAACCTTAATATTTTTATCATCTCTATAAATTATGTTTAATAGGAGAGATGGTAAAAATGTCTCCCTCAGGTGTAAAGGTTGCAGATCCCTGGTGATCTGATGGTTACCATCCTCCCAGCTCACCTGCGTATCTGTCTGGAAGGAACACTGGAGATCATTTTCCTCCAGTTTCCCAGCATCTTGTTGACGGCGCTTCTTTGCTTGAAGAAATGACCGAGGGTGCTGTTCATCATATTCGACTGTGCACTCTCCGTGCTGTCCCTGTGACCAGAACCRGACTTCTCGTCCGCCRCTGGGTTTTCGCTGCTCRCCTTCCTCCCTACGTCGTCCCTGCTCTTCACWGTGATCGAGTAGGCAGATTTCTTCCAGTGGCCTAAAAACAAAACTACTATACGCTCYTTTCTGAGGCTGACGGTGTCCTGAACGTCCACGCTGTTTTCATCATGTTCAATGCCAGAATCACTGTTCCGGTCCGTTTCTGGAGCTGGCCTCAACACTTTAGGCTCYTTGTCTGATTTCGTGCCCTCGGGCTGAGTGGGAGGATCAAACACGATGGGCCCCTCGAGATTAATTGGCAAAGACACATTCTGAGCCTCAAAGTTTGACTTCAAAGTCCTCACAGACACTCCGAATTGATGAATTTCATCCTCTATGCTCTCCCTGCGCACTCTGGTTGACGTCTGTCTGTCCGGAGCCTGAGAAAACACAGTGATGAGTTCAGTGTTGGGCATCTTGCAGTAGGGCTGGTCTGTCAGGTTGGTCATGAGCAGAGACATGCTCTTCACAATGCCTGAGATGCGGCCGCACCAAACCGGGAGGGGAACCTGACTTTGGAAGTTCCTGAACTGCGTGTTGACAGTGATGTTGACTATGGGTGCTGGGAGGATGTGCCTGAGCTCCTCAGCCAGACGAGCCAGCTCCAGCTCATATCCCTCACAGTTCCTCTGCATGGAGACGTTGGCAATCTGCTGTTCCAGATAGATGAGGTCATCCTCAGTCAACAGCTCACCAGAGGGCCCCAGGATGGCATTGTGGGCTTGGGAGTACCTCCAGTTCACTTTGGCATATCGGTTCCCATTTTCCTGTAAAAAATAAAAAAACAAAAATAAAAAGTCAAGCAGTCAACAGATGAATGCACAGCGTCGTTTTAAAGTCTGTCAAACATTTTGAATGACGTTGGCATAAAAGGGAAATAAGTAAAACTTTATTTCTCATCCAAACCTCAAAACTCTGACTCAATCTGCGGTGTTATGTGTGAAAGATTTGTTAACGAGCAATTTAAAGTAAATGGTGACTTGAAATTTTCAGTAATGTACATTTAGAACTGCATTTAAAACTCAAATCCCAAGTTTGTGCTTTTCTCACTACAGTTTGAGTTGGTTCAAGGGCCATTTTGTTTATAAGAGGCTGTACAGCTTTTTAACTGACTGAATATCAGACATTTTATTGATCGACAATTACTAATCCTTTTCTAAAAAATAATTAGGATACTGAGTAATACACAAATATCATAAATTATAACTCTGTTCTAATGGAACATACCAACATAGCATGTTTGTCATGTGTGTCTCTTGAAAGGGTGTTTTTAAATGTAATTTCATTGTGCCCTGTACAATGACAATAAAGGCATAATCAATCAATCAATCAATCAATCAATCAATCAATCAATCAATCAATCAATCAATCAATCAATCAATCAATCAATCAATCAATC